AGGGATACAAGTAGTAAAGAAATGTGTATCCAAAAAGATGTCTGTGGCATTTCTCCAAAGCTCAAGGCCTCCTCTTCTGCCTCCAGATACTATTGCTGCAAGGCTGGCACTCGGCCACAGTTTCATGTCTACCAGCTTATTCTACTTCATTCCCTTCTATGTACCAGCCTTTGCCTGTTCAGCCACACTCAGTCCTTGTCATTGAAGTAAAACTATTTCTTACGTATTATTAAATACCCAAGGAGCTTTGTCATTAATATTGTGATAATATAATGAGGTAGGGAGTTAACTTTATCATATTAATTGCAAGTAATGTTTGATGTATTTATCAACTCTGATCATAGAGACAAAAAAAATACTCTCAACAGCTGAATATCAACATGATTTTTTTTTTTTTTAGAATAAAATGGAGTAGCTCTGAAAGATGAGTAATGAGATTGGTGAGTGACTGACTTATCTCTGTAACAGATATTACACAGAAGTACTTTCAGACTCTGCTTGCCATCAGGCACACAGCTGTAATAAACTAAACTTTTATTACATTCATTGTGCTATATACTGAGTTAAAACCAACAAAAAAAATAATTGACTCATGTCAGCTCTTACTCAGCTCAGCATTTTATTGAAAAAAAAATTTCTTTTATTTAGACTACTCTGTACAAAGATCAAATACCAACTATTCAGTTTCTTTTCTATATAAAACACTAAGTTGCCTTGGTATAGGCTAGCCTAACATCAGGCATGTATCCCTTTGCTACTGCACAGTACTCTGATTACATACATGCAAGGTCCATATACATATCTCATCATAACATCTCTCTTGCAGGGAAAGATATACAGGTAGCCTGAAAACAGAGGCAAAGACAAGCAGCGTGTGCCAATACATTCAGAAATAGGATCAACTGTATATGAAAAGTATTTAAAGTACTCTTGAGGTGGAAAAGTTAATGTTCAGAAATAAACAATTACATTATGTAACAGCAGAACTTTGCTACTCCTGCTTCCAGTGCACTCAGTGGAAACTCTGTATGTATTTAGAAGTGAAACCTTAAGGCTAAAAGCATTTTAAATGGTTCCAAGTTACAACTTTATTCTAGAGCAAGCTAGGCATTAGAAGAGGCAAACAGGAAAGAGAATCTTGCTGTATTTCACACTCATTTACCTTACTGTTTTCTACTGTTTACTGCTAGTTGTCTCTGAAGAAAGGGGCTTTACTTATTCGAAGGAAAGAACAAGAAAATGAAAGAAAAGACAACTTAAGTAATCAAACATAGCTGTTCATATTTTTTCCAGTCTAAAAGACTGTTCCATGCAAATCTCTCAAAAACAATTATGCTATAAAAATACCATTCACAACAGTCACAAAGATACATTTTGATGCTGTGGCTTCCTATCTTATAGGCAAATTATTTTCAAAACCTTGAAAAATTCTGCTAAGAATTCAACCATGGCAGCTTGACCAGGCAACACTTTAATATAAATGGAAGTTATGTAACATAAAATAACCTTACACATCGGGTCAGAACAAAACATTGCAAGGACTGAGGCTGGCTCAGGGCTCATTCCAGACAGTTAATTCTCAATTCAAGCCTTTTCCCTGCAGATGCTGCCAGCTATGTCAGAAGTAGGTCACTTGCCATATCTGGTAAGCCTGTGCTTACACTACCAGATGTCTTCATGCAGACATCAGAAAGTCTTAAAGTGTGCTCTATTCCCCAACAGCAAATCTTTAAAAGTCCTATACCTCACCCACCCTGCATTAAAAGTCACACCTAGATAAAAGTGTATGAAATCCTTTTACTTTAGCTTATGTTCAAGACATCTAGTAATTTCACATACTCTAAAACTAACTTTAAAGTCAGGTATTTGAGGACAAAACAATGTCTCATGTTAATGTGTGTTCTACTCAACAAAAACTAAGTTACAATTAACCACCTGCCATAAACTCATGAAATACCTCTACTCCAGAGAACATTTAATCAAAGAGAACAGAGGCAGCCTGTAACACAGACTAGAACAGCAAACTGGCTAGAAAATACCAACATACCACAGTAAGCCAGTTATTTTGCTATTTACAAAATCAGGCATAGCCGGTATTTGTGACTATGCATTTTCCATTTGTTCACAAAAAAAGTTAGGATTATACCTGTGTCGTCAGCCATAACATGAGCACTTGATTTCCACAGAGTGAGCGACTGCGTCGATATCTCCAAAAAGGCAGAATAAGAAACGATTTATCCTCACTGTAGTCTTGCAACAGGAGCAAACAAGTTCCCTAAAGCCAGCTCAGCTGGAACCCGAAACCAGACCCAAGAGAAACCTCTCCTCCAAATCTATTTTTAGAGCAGTTATCCTCAGGAGCCAAACGCTTTTCAGAACTCATATGGCAATCTAGTTCTGACGACAATCAAATTCACTTACTCCTCCTAACAGAGCATCCTGGGTAGCTGATCCTTTCCCCTCCCCTTAATCCTCCAACATCAAACACAGCAGCGAATGAAACTGAGCACATTGTACTGAAGTATTTTTGCTGCAATGTATGCCTCAGTGCCTGAGCTCTAAGGACATTAAATCCACCAGCATAAGCTGAAACACAAGTCTGGACACAAAGCTTGCCCGCTTGCATTTGTTAAGTTGGCCCTCACCCGAGAAACTTTCTCTGTGTTGGCACCCCTCTACCAGGCTTACCGAGTACCCTGTAGAGACTGCTCATTTGAAACTTCCTAGCTACTTTAAGAATAAAACACAACTAATTTCTAAACAGTGGGTTTGCGTCTTCTAAAAGAGTTACTTCAAATCAACCACACACATTCTCGCCAAAGAATTTTCCAATCAGAACTGTTCCCCTGCTACACCTCATATTTGCTTCTAGCAGACCCAAAGGAGGATTTCTGATAGTTTTGCCAAATCAAAGCCTGTTTCCCTACTGTGCAATACACCACATGCCTGGTAAACCAGGCAAAATTTCTATTGTGTATTTGTTAAAAGTAGCAGAGGTGTTGATTTTGCTTTGTTGCCCTCCCTTTCCAGGAAGGACTAACACTAACTCATCTCAGTCACCCCTCCTTTCAATTCTGACAATACATACGCTACGCGTACAATTTAAAGCTAACTCATATGATTAACGATCAACATATTCTCTTCTTCTTAAGGACCAGAAAAGGAGGAAAACACCCCACTAATACACCACTCAAGTTATTTACATCTTCAATTTTAGCAAACAACTTTTCCCACTGCATTTCAAACAAAAGCCAGCTCCTTTTGGGTGGGAGGAAGACAGAAACAAACTCATGTGTCATTAACAGCAACCCTAATAAAAACTTTAGGATCTAGCACTCTGCCCTTCTTCCCCCACACTTCTTTAAATAGCATAGCCATCAGGTAGATGGAGAGAACAGTAGAATGTTACAGCTGCTTTGAAAAACAACACTTACCTCCTGTGGTTTTAACATCCCACAACTAATTCCCAAACGCAATTCCCAATAGCTCAAGGGAGAAAAAAAAAGTGAGAAATAACACCCAACTGGGTTTGTGACTTTTCAAATGGATATGAAGGAACTACAGGTAGTTGATTCTCTAACTAGTGTATCTTTTAGCTATTTTTAAAGGCATTTAGAATACATCAAACAGAACAGATGCTTTAAGAAAGACCTCCTGACTAGTACATTTCAGCAACTTTTGTGATACACAAGCAATTTAGAGCAAGACAGGATAATTTAAATAAAGGGTAAAAGTGACCAAATATACCGAGAAATCAACAGCTTAGTAAGGGAAATAATTGTCCATGCAATTATATGTAGTCTACTGCATTTAAACCCTACATTGTTTTGACAGGCACTAGCTGAGGCAATTTGTTGCAACTTCACTTAGGCTGCACCTGCATTTGCAGATACAGGATCTTACTACACTGAATTCATTGAGCATACAACTGGTGCTGAGAACCTGAATTCCATATTATACATATTTTGGGGGGATGGCTCCAAACTATATCTGCAACTGCTTACGGGCATTCAGCCAGGTAAGCATACCTTTCTATTTCACTCGAACCAAACTAAATATATTCAGGGACAACAGCGCAACAAATAAAAGGAAAATGGAGACAGTCAAGAAATTAATTTCAAATGTACACTCCCAATCTGAACAAACACACTTATTTTGACCTTTAACCAAGTACTCACACCCTAATCTTGTGTCCTTTAAAAATCAGGTGATTGCAAGAACATGTATTCCAAAAAAATGCCACATACCCTCCTGAAAGGGGAGGCTACAGCTAACGGGGAAAAACTTCAGACTCATCAACAGGAAGATCAACCAAAAAGATGATGAACCAAAAGGGCCACAAACCTGATTGTACACCCCATACATAGCATACATCTTGAAAATTACAGCTTGCACATGTATCTCTCTGAATGCTATAGTTCAAAATATCAAACAATATAATTTTGGTTAGCTTTGTGAAAGACATAGGTTAATTTGAATAGATATTTATTTAAAATACAATTCAAGATTGGGATAGCTAAGTCAACAGCACAGACTTCTTGAGAGGTCTCCTACCGTGTTCAAATGCTGTGACTACAAGTTTGTTGGTTCCTTTTTGAAGCAACTCAAATTGCTTCATTAACACGCAAAATTATTATTCTTCACCTCACTTGTATAACTGTTTCAAATTTAAAAACTATTTTCAAGTTAGTTTTTCTACAACTATGCACTGCATGCTATTGCAGTTAATTTTAGAAAAGTATAATTGACAAACAAGACTAGCAGCATTAATTCCACCTGTAGGTCACTACCAAAGTGCAAGCAAAGAAGCTTAGAGGGGAAAAAAAAAAGTGTCAACTATGAACACAAAAATAAAGGCAGGCTTCAAAGCATCAACCTAAGCTTTTGTAATGTGCACAATTATATTTTCCACAAAGGTGCATTAGCAAGTAATACGGAAGCAATTATGGATTATCACGTGAAGAGAAGGGTGCACATCAGCAGGCAGGTTACTAGAAATTAGAAAAACACAGTAAAAGGAAAAACAACAAAACACTAATCTCAGAGAAATATCTAAAAATAGCATTTCAGAAGTAAAAATTATCCATCAGCTAGATCATAGGGAGACTTTGGAATAACTTCATTTTAAAAGCAAAATGCAGAGTGATAAAACACAGATATGGGAAAGAAGTAAACAAATAAAATGAGTTACAACAGAACCATCCTACCACCAAAAGAGATGAACTAGTGGTAGTGCAAAGACAGAAAACAACCCCTCTTATAAGAACATGGCCTACTACTGCCGGACATTTCTGAGAAATTATCTTTTCCAATATGATCACCAATGGCTTGCAACAGTTCTACTCTCAGTAATAAAACTGCAGTTAATTTTTTTTTAAACCATTTTTTACACAAAGATATTTTGGGTGGGCTCAGTAACAAGTATTTTGAATAAAATACCTATTAAAGAGAAGATTACATCATTCCCTGTTGATATTATTGTCCCCCTGCCTATTAAAATACAAACTTCCCCCTGCTGCTACTGTGAGACAGGTCGTATATATGTGTGTGCATATATACACACTTTTTGTGATACGTATTTTAAAATCTGGACTCAATAAGCATCTGTGTTGAACTGTTCCATTCTGAGAAGCCCACGCACCATAACAATTACAAGGGCTATCCTGACATAAAACAGATTTTAATTTTTAATTTTCATTCAGTGTACCAAAGGTGGAATAATACACTTTTAATGGACAAATCTGAGCTTTTGATGTGCTTTTACAAACTCTATTTTATTTTGCAAGGGAAACAGGGCTACTGTTTTCTCTCTGTTTACTTTACAGATAGAACAGAGATTTTGGTATCACTTATAAAATATTCCAACCTTAAATTTTCACAAATATCCATACTCAAAATTTTTTGTTTGTTTTACAAACAATCACGACAGCAGGTTCTTTAGAGATAAGATCTAAAGTTTAAGGTAAAGGTTTACTTTTAATAAATTCAATATAAATGATTTGATATCTACCTTTTGGTATCTAAGAAATCTTCTTCAGCATTGCAATCTGAATGGAAATTAGGGGGAGGGGGAAGTGGCTTTTTATTATTATTCTTCTCATTAAAAACTAGATCTCTGCTCTGCACTTTATATAATCCAGTCTACATGGTTATAAAGATACTTATGCACACTATCAAAGGACTTTAAAAAACTAAATCAGAAACTTACTAGTTAGGAACAGGGGAATGGATGGAAAAGAAAGAGCTGTAAATCCAAAGGAAATAAAGACCAGAAATTAAATTTGAAATAATAAATTAACCAAATGAAAGGCAAGTTTGGATCTCCAGATGCCACTTCACAGATTTTCACTCTAGTGTTTGAAGAATTTTCCTTATTCCACATATAATCAATCTTCACATAAATCTTTAAGGTCCTTAATTTCAATCCCTACAAGATTTCTCATAGTAAATCATCCTACTACACAATCAAAGAACAACATAAATTCTGAAAACAAGAGCAAAGTCATAAATTCAGGATTCAACAACTAAGCAGGCTGATCATGGAGATGCTGAAGGTGGTCAATTGGAGAGAGGAATAAAATAATAATAATAAAAAAAGAGATGCATCACAAAATACTTTAAAAAAACTC